GAGAGAGAGAGAGAGTGTGTGTGTGTGTGTGTGGAGTGTACATATAATCGTAATTAGGCCCGCGACAATTATATCGAACGCTGCAGCGAACTTTGCGCAAAACGCGCAAAGTAATCGCGATTGCGCTAATCGCGATTGCTCTAATCGCGATTGTTCGTAAACAAAGAGACGCGGAGTTCGGAGAAGGGGAAGAGGATCGCGCGGATCAATAATATTCAATATCGCTTTTTAATCTTTTTCGCGCTCCGCAACGCGATTGCAAGATTATCATATCCAAAATTATTATATGTTCTTTGGAAAGATCAAGCTCTATGGTGCCAATGATGTGTAGGTGTCTTAATGATGGACAACGCTTGAATCCTGCTTGAATTAGCCCACCATCGGGATTATCCAAAATCGCGAAATGCCCGAGCTAATAATAGTGATATTATTTATAAATACGTCATCTCGATTGATCGAATGAATATAATTCGTGTAATCGAGCTGGTAGATGGAAAATGGATACAAAAGATCGTAATGAGGAAAATTAGAGAGTGAGAAATAGAGAATGGACTCTATCAGTCTGCATTAAAAAATGAGATTAATTAACGTAGTTATATATCGCATCGCGATCCGATTACCGCCCATATCTAATTCTCTCCAAACTTGTCGGTAACAAATTAATGAATAATTCGGATTCGTTAGAGTGATACAATAACCGACGTAACGTAGTGAAAGACAGCCAACGTTTCTGAAACGTGAAGGAACTTATAGCTGACGTACTGCTGAGGTATAGAAATTCTTACGCGATGTGCCCATTTCGTCGATATCTTTTCCGTGATCGACTCGTGCTGGTGCTACTTTGCGAATAAAAAATTCGGATCGAATGAGGTCGGTGCATTATTGTGCATGACGTGCATCCAAAGGCTCGAAGGGTCATGGCATTGTGGGTTGCCGATTAATTTTTCCGTGATTTTCCAAGGGGAATACGTCGGAACTCCGTTGCACTCTATCGGAAATTTTGTCGTGTGCCGCGGACGGATGGGTCGTGCGAAGAGGATCGATTGGCGGCGACAAGCCTCGGCAATTGCGTCTTAAAACGCATCTTACTAACGCCATGGCAGCGGAAACTCTCGCCCTCTTTGCCAAACCGTAGCGGCTTCCTTACGCGATCCTTACGGTGATTTTTGCGCATTCATATCCGCAAAATTCATCGATCGCCGCACCTTCTCACTAGACTGCTTTCTCACGGCTAAATCGCGGCCGAAGCCAGAATAATATATGAAATGTAATCGCCAATTTACTCTAATCTGGTTGGTCTAGTTATGTCTCGCAAATATATAAAAAAGCATAATTAAGTCAATGTATTTTTCTTTTTTTTTGTAAAAGACATTTTTGAAAAGACACAACTTTAACGCGAGTTCCTTCGATTCGCTTATCACCAGAAGAAGCCAAGAAATTTACTCTGGATGCAGTTTCACGAAACAATCGCCATTTGTATCATCGTGCGAAATGAAAGTTAAGAATATTTCGTTATCCCGATTTCGAATTTCACGACGCGCTCGGTATCGGATACTTTTGATGATCGCAAGGCCTCGTTGACAAACGCGTTTCCGTAATATCCGGAAACATATCCGGAAACAACACATCGACATAGTCGCAAATCCGATCGTCCGGTATAATATGTATCCTCCTGCATTATCCTATTTAATACGATTTCACAGTTACCTCGTCCTTAGATATCGCTTCGCGACTACTCGTTCGTTAGAACTATCTGAAAGAATTCAATTTCGGGAATCATCCAAGATTTCCGCGACTGACATCACGGGTTGGAACGGTCAAAGTCGCGATGTCTTCGCGACGTCCTCACAACGTCCTCGCAACGTCCTCGCGGAGAACCTTCGAATTTTCATCGAGGCCTCTCGTTCGCGACTTCCTTTAGGAAGTTTCGCAGGCATTCGGGGTGCGTTATTCTTGCAAGCGGCGTCAACGTTATTATCACGTACTCACATGCTGCTCGTAGTCGATCGCCTCGGGCTCTTTCTGTTCCGGCAATCCTCGTCGATTTGTCAATCGGCTCGCTCGGCGGCACCTCCGGTCGATCGTTCGGCGTTCGGCGCGTAACTTTTCGCGAACGACTGCCAGCAAGACTAGATGGCCGCCACGGTATTGATAAAATTTCCACGGCACGCCGCCGTGCGATATCGGATGCGCAAGCGTGCGACTTACGCGATGTCTCGATAGTTCATCCTCGAATTTTAATTCTCTTTTCTGCGTTCGCTGTGGCGCGTTCTGCTTGCGCTCGTCTACCACCACCGCCCGAAACGGCCACCGGTCCGACCAAATTCGCGTGGAGATTACCTGAAATCGGCGAACGCACGGATCGCGCTTTCGAAAGCGAGAATCGATCTCTCGAGGCTGCAGAATCGACGGATGACGTGCCAACGTGCGCACGTGCAAGACAGAGAGTTTGGTCGATAAACGCGATGCCGCGCCGCCTCGCAACCCCCATGCGCGAACACACCCTACGCGACTACCAGGAACGTTCTCGCGGATGCGGAGTGCCATGCGCGTTTCCCCCGATTCCATTTTACGTCAGACGACTTGAATTGTTTTACGTGTAAAATTAGATAGAAACTTGTCTGCTTAATTGTGCAATCCTGCTTGTGCAATTTTGCTTTCCGTACAGAAGTAACTTGAGATGGTCACGCCAACGAATGACATAGTCATCGTAGTAATTTTCACTTCGGCGAAATCGATTTAAAACGATGATTGATGATTCTCATTTGAGAATCGTTAATTTCCATTACAATGAGCAATTGGATTTCATTTACAACAAAATTCTCTTTTAATCTTTAGCTTTTTTACTGCCTTAACGTATTCTTCTCATGTTCAAACTCGTTGGTTCATGCAGATTATTTAAGATTATATTTAATTTTTAATTTGTTATGGGCGTTTAAACTCCAAATTTTTGTATTTGTTGGGGCATCGTTGAAGATGTTGCCTGGAAAAACGCGAAGAACATTTAATCGCGCCCTTCTCTTGGCAGGTCAGAACTTATACTTCGCGTACGTTCCTGCAACCGACGCGGTGCGCACGGGCATCCGCAAGATATTTTATTTATGCCACCGTTGCGATTTTCGTTGTGAGTCACGTCGGCGTCACGATGAACGATGGCACGCTCCTCATCGGCGATGCTTCCGCGTTATTGCTCATACGCCCGATTATGGCAACTCGTAGCGGTAAGTGGTTCTTATTCATAAAACGAGAGCTCACTTCTTACGAGAGAGGTTGCTCATGTTATCATCGCGGCGCACATTTTAGCAACATTGGTCTCTCCAAGATCGAGTTTGGCTGAATCCCATTTCCGCACCATTTTTCTCAACATCTATCATTAAGATCTATTTATTGGTCCGTAAAATTCCGAACTATCTTCCTCCATATTGTGATCAAATATTTTAATGTTTATTTCTATTATTAGTAGTAGATTAACTTTAATTTCGATTTAACTTACTTTTTATTTTTTTTTAGTTTAATTTTTTTTAGTTTTTTAGTTTTTATTTTTTTTTTAATTCTAAGAATTAAAAGAGATTAATCTACATAGAAATAAACTCGTTGATCCTAAATCCAATTGAAATCTCGTTGAAGCCTCCTTTATGCTCTTCTTAACTGTTTCGATCAGTCGCATGATTTATTATATTTTATTTCTCATAGTTTTATTATATACAATTTTTACAAATTCATATTAATTGAGCCTTTTTTATTTATGCTTTTTTGCTATTTTATTTTTTATATATTATCTTACGACGAGATTATAATTATAATATCATTAATATCTCTCCTTTTGTTTGCATATCATTCTTGTAAAATATCAAAACATCCTTGCAAAATTATCATTATTATTAATTTTATTTTTCTATTTTTTACTTATATTTAAATATTATTTATTTTATTTATTGGTGAAAATGACATTGAAATGAAGGTAACATACGGAATGGCTTAAATACGATCAAGTAGACTTTCAGTAACGCAAAATTTAACTGCAATTCAATTAAACACAGTTAACTCTTTTGCTTCGGTTAAAAATCGATGATACGGTTCAAGGATTATTCTCTATAGCAACATGCATTTATGCAATAACACTACGGCACCTTCTCAATTACGATTACCATTATAGTCTTATTAACTTTAAGGGCCAACTTTTTTTGAGAATTAAGACATGTCTTGTTTAATTTTTAAAAATTCTTGAGATTATTAAATACAAAAATAAGATCAAGATATAAAAATTTAAAATAGCAGAGTCGATATAGTATGTAAGAAATAAAATAATGCCCGCGTATAGTATAAAATTTTTACTCTAACCTATGTGGTAATAGTTTTAAGTCTTTAAAAAAATTATGTTATAACTCAAAAATTGTCATAACTCAATTCTAGTTGTGCTCAAGCTAAAAAATAAAATCTAAGTGCTAATCTAAACTATCTTTATGATTTTTGCATTTATTGAAGAGATTTTTTATTTATTTCTTCCTATTCTAACCCAAATGGCATTAGCTTTAATTAAAAAACAAAAAATTTGTTTTCACATTGCCAACTCAAATATTATTTGTATAAAAGACTTGATATCAATAACTGGCGCCAAGTTATAATCCTACTATAAAAATTGCGTTACTCTACTAAAGTCAAGTGATATGTATTAAAAAATAAAATGTAACTGGCATCTGTTATATAATAATATTTTAAGAAAATAGAACCTAAGTGGTACGTATCTTTGTATCTTCATTGAAAAATCTTTTTACTCTAACCCACATGGTAGTAGTCTTAATTTCTTTAAAAAAAATTTGTAATTTTTAATGAAGAATCTTCCTATTCTA